TGATGTTAAAAACTCTCCACAAATCCGGGTTCAACTTATTTCAACTTTCTCTTTTATAATAACCATGTAGAGCAATGCACCTAGATTATTCACTTGTTGCTGGGCAATCTTCGGTTGACCACTTTTGTCTCTTTTCTTTTATTGTTCTATGTAAATGTTTTCTCCCTGAAATCATACTCATTTTTTTATGGTCCAATGTTTGACATTTTATTCAGAAGAAATCCCTCTATCCTTTTTGTACAAACTTATATAGCCCTCATCTTTTCTTTCTTAATGAAGTCATCACATTTTACATGATGTTGCGTCTCAGTGTCCATATTTTTCCTCACTTAGACTGTAAATCTTCTGATAATAAAGGGTGTCCCATTTATTTTTGCCTCATCAATATTAACTATTAATTTCTATTAATCGTCCCTCTTACTCTTAATTTATGCCTGATTATTTTTCTTTGAACCCATAATCCACAACAAGGTTTTAGCTGTTCTTTTCTAATGGATGGGTACCATATCCTTTTATCAGCTTGATAAGGTACCCATGCCTATCCAAATAATGAAATGGTTCGGTTGTTATTAAAGCATGCCCAGTATTTGGGCAAAATCAGAATCCAATAAATTACACTGTCACCTAATACCTATGGCTTGATGGGAAGCCATGAGGAATAAGGGTAAAGTGATAAAGCTGGTAAGTAAATCAAGGAATAAAAGCCAGAAGAATTCTGAGAACAGAGGGCAAGAAACATCTAGTTAGTATTCAAGGATGGAACTGAAGTTCAAATCAAAAAGGGATGTTGCTTCAAGGATCAGGAGCTGAACTGGCTATCAGAGCCCCTAGTGCATGGTGATCCAATGAAGGGCAGTTCGAGATAAACATTGGGTTAAGCAAGAAAAACCAGGACCTAGAAATATTCTAGGTGTTCACAGTAATTAAATAAAAACAAGAGAGACCACGTGGCTTTAAATTTCCTAGCTTAATATGTTCCAGGATTCCCAGTACAGAAAGAATCTCTGGAAATTAAGGTGAGGAGAAAATGCCACTCTGAAGTTCCTGTGCTGTGTAGAATATTTCCCAGAGAAATAATATCTGTGAAATCCAGCAGAGTTAGCTGGCCAGGGGCTACATCAAGTTCTTCAGTTCCCTCAAAACAACTTAACCACTTACAATGTGTCTTAAAAGGAAACCTCCAAGCAGCTAAAACAAACTTTCAACTGAGATTCAGTTTAACAAACATGCTATACTGTGGCTTTAGGAACTAGGCCACTGACTACCTAAAAACCCAGCTTGCCCACTTGAAGTTAACCTCTAGAAACATTAGTGATCTGTGAAGTTTTCAGGATTAAAACAGTGCTTTATCATGCAAATCATACTTGTTCTTCTCTTTGCTCTCCAGTTACGAATTTATTACCTTCCTGCATTTGATTATTTCCAGTGATATTTTGTTGTTGTTGTTTTTGACATGCTCTTCAGTGATGCAAATTTGTGCCTCCTACTCCCTTAAGTCCTTCTTGGTAAATAATGTTAATCTTCCAATAGGAAGAAGTGGAATGCATTATCATTTAAGAACTATTTATCCAGCATTCTTGCAAAGAAAGCTATGGAGCCACCTTATATATTTGAAATTCTCTAAAGACCCCAGCTTTCTATTAAAATATACTTTTATATATACTTTCTGTGAAGAATTCACTGAAACATGAATCACCTTATAATGAGAAGCTAAAAACATATCAAAATGTACATAAGTATAGGTAATCTATATCAACACACTACGTCTTCCAAATCTAGAGCATACGCTGGTGTAGACTGTATTACAACCCAGCTAAGTTTGAAATCTTGTTTTGACACACTGCTCAGTATTAAGTCTCAGTTGACAAATAATAGGACCACATGAGAAACAGTTCGGCAGTTGGCTGAGGAGACCTTAACTTCCAAAGGGTCAAAGTGGTCCTCCAGAGACTGTTACACTCCCTTAGGGCATTTATTTTAGGAAAGGACACTATTAAGGGACACTTTGAGTATAAAGACAGGTGAAATCACAAAGTATAGCCAGATACATGCTTGAGTTTATCTTTTAATCTATAGATAATGCATTAGAATAAAAATTAATGAATTCATACACCTTTCAAAAGGAAAAACTGAGGAAGAAGTAGCAATAAAGTTATAAATGATAATGATCAGATGAAACAATTTAGTTGAAGCTTGTCTGGGTCTGAAAGAGACTAGGACTCAGCAAATGGTCAAAAGGAAGCATAATGTGTCCTTACTTTGGACAAAAAATAATATTCGGTTCTATATGGCCAAACATCATTCTCTTTTTGCTACATAAATCTTTTTATTTTTAATTACTGACCAAATGCTTTACTGAAACTACTCTTCAGGCCTTTGTTTTGGGATCTCTTACTTCATTGCCACCTCCTGATTGCTGTCCTCTCAGGCCTCCATTGCCTTCCCGCTGTCCTCTGAATCTTGTTTCCGTTCCACTGTCCCCTGAAACCTCCATATTCTTCCTGTGGTCCCTCCAGCTCTGGTTGCTCTGTGGCTACCGAGCGCTGCCAGTGTCGTGAATCGTGCCATTTCTCCTGTATTTCTGTTACTGATGCGGTAGGTGCATCAAAACAAACACCCAGCTTTCCTTTGAGGAAAACCATTCCCTTCACTTTGGAATCAGTCTTCTCACCCAGCTGCTCTTTAAGTTCTTTCCATGCATAACTAATATTTGGCATTTCACTTAAGCATCACAAGGTCATGGTCACAAAACCCACATTGAAGTTGATCAAGGAGCGCTGGTCTATGAATGTGACACCTGAAACATGGGTCAGTGCTGCTGCCAGAGTTTCCCCAACTCTCTTCTCCTCTATCAGCTTCTCCACTGATGGCTTGAAGTGTCTAACGGCAGTGGGAGGCACGGAATCCAAAAGCCTGATGGTATCTTTACTGGAAGCTTTTATTATTCCTGTTGCAGAAGGAACACCATCGTTTGAACTTAATTCTTGCCTTTCGCTCTACTTGTTCTGACTGATATTCTACCTTGTGCTGGTAAAGGCAGATGTACACCCCTGTCCTTCCAGCTCTGCCCATCCACTCGGATAGATGAATGTAGGGCTCTACATCCTTTGGTGGAGAGCTTTGTATAACCAAATCAACCTCAGGGATGTCTAATGCGCGTTCAGCAACATTGATTGCTGCCAAAACTCCAAAACTACCATTTCTAAAACCTTTCTGGGTGATTTCCCTTTGCTTCTGTGGAATGTCTCCATGCAATAGCTGGGTATCCTGCTTTATAGCCAAATTCTGGGACAGCTCCTGGGCTTCTTTCTTGGTTTTACAAAAGATGATAGTACATCCTTGATAACCACTATATACGCAGATGACATCCCCATAACTGCTGCCCTCTGAGTGTGGTGGCACTTAATAGCCAGATGCTCTGCAGTTATTGCTGTTTTCTGAGTCTTTTTACCAATCAGGTCCACCTGTTCATATGTAGATTTCATGTGTTTCTTGGCAATATTAAACACCCAATAAGGGCAAGCTGCAGAAGGAAGCAATGTTTGGGGATTGTCTTCAGAATCTTTCTTGTATGCTACACTTAAAATTTCTTTCACTTGATCGGCAAATCCCATATCCAACATCTGGTCAAATTCCTCCAGGACAACATGCTTAAGTTTGGTGAGATCTAGTTTGCCATTCTGTATGTGGACTTTGATATGACCTGGTGTCCCAACCAGGATATCAATCCCATTCCTCATGTGTTCAAATTGACCTTCATAAGGAGTTCCACCATAAAAACAAGCCACTGACAGCATTTTTGTGATGTTACTGAAGTCTTTGCTTACTTGATTTGCCAACTGTCTTGTAGGTGCAAGAACCAGTACCTAAGGAGGACAACCTCTCTTCCTGTCTTGCAGTTCCCCATGAAGTTTCTCAATGAAAGGGATGGCAAAGGAGAGTATCTTCCCAGTTCCTGCCTGTGCCTGTGCAATTAAGCCCTTCCCACTGTAACCACGATGGAATGTCTTTGCTTGTATAGGAAATAGGAAGATTCACTCCTTGGTCTTTGAGAAGCTTAATAGTTTCTTCAGATGTGGGAAAATTAGAGAAAGCACCATCTTTTAGTTCCACGGGTGTCTCCTGCGCTATTTCACTGTTACTTTCTTCATTGGCCCCTTCATTGGGGTTATAGTCAGATTCAGAATGAGGAAATCCATTCTTCAGTTTAGGGCTTTTTTCTGCAGCTCCTCCATTCATTTCCTTTTCTTTCTTCATCTTCTTGGGCTTAGAAGCATGTATTTCTTTCTCAGAAGGCTCCTCATTTTTTGTACCTTTTTTGGTTTTAGAAGAAACAGCTTCCTTTTCAATGGGCTCCTTTTTCTTTCTCAAACTTTTGGTTTTAGGAGAAATGCCATCTTGAGATGGCTCCTCTTTCTTCTTTGCCTTTTTTGGATTTTGGATAATTCATATCAACTTCAGAAGGCTCTGCTTTCTTTCTAATATGTTTAGCTTTAGGGGAAACTGTTTCTTCCTCTCCTGCTATCTCTTCAGTCTTACCAGGTTTTGGTTTCTCTTTTAACTCTGTTTACTTTTGCAGTGTCTCTGCTTTTTCCATTGCGGTGTCTGATTCCAAACCAATGTCACCATGGAGTTTTCTGGCGTCTTCAGTGTAGGCTGCCTAGGCCAGCTACTCTTCTCAACCGTATTGAATATTTATTAAATAAATTAGAATGAATGCCTTTTCTAACTGTGCACTTTATTTCCAGGAACCCATGTCTTTAAAGGCTTAAGTAGAAAGGGTATGGGCAAATATGACTCATCAATTGGTTCCATCAAAACAACTACTAAGACTATTATGAGTTGCACCCGAGATTTCACAAGGAATGAGAGAATTTCTGACATTAGAAGCTTACAATATAAAAGGTGAAATAAGTGTCTAAAATTTTAGAAAATAGCCCATGATCATTAACACCATTGACTTTACAACAAAAATGAAAGAAACATAGATGCCGTTTTACCTTGATCTGGCCTTTCTCACATGGTTCACTGCACACAGATCTTATGATGTTGCTTTTCTTGGACCATACTTCATCGTCATCCATTTTTAATTCTCCATTGTCCCAACTTCCAACATTGATGTAATCAAAATAATCTTTTCCCATTTCCTTGAAATTCATTATTTCATACCTTAGGAATAAGAACATGATATTTATTTAGATAAAGATATAAATATTCAGCTATGAAAAGGCAATATATTTTATTCCCAAAAATGTCATTGAAGTAACACTGGAATTTTCCATCACAGTACACTTAGAATAACAACAAAAAAAAATCTGCCTATTTCACTTTCTCTGCAGAGACCATTTCTGTGCTTTCAAGCTTACACCTGAAAAAGAAAGTAATCCCATGTGAGAAGGTGACTTGACCTTAGCAGGATGAAAGACAGTTTTGAAATAACTTTAAGAAGTTTAAACAAGTACTACTGTTAGGCTTCTACAAAAGATAGAAAGGTTTTTGTCTCTATTCAAGTAAAATGATAAAACTTACATTGACTAACCAAGTGAGAAATTTGGTAAATCTTTAATCTTACCTTCAGCTTTAGAGGATATAGGGGTAATTTAGTGAAGGCCTCATTTTACCTTTCTTACTGTATCCATTATCAATGGCTAAATTCATTATATAGAGATAATTTCAAGAGCGACGTTTAAAAAAGTTTGAAAATAGCTTCTAAAGCACCTCATGCAATGTAAAAATGCTGGAAGAGAGAAGTTCCTTGTGGGTTCTCAGCCTTTGCTAGCTGTTGTTTTTTGAGTATGTATATAGAAATATAAAAAGAGAAAATCAATGTGCTTACTTACAAGTCTTTTCTTATAATTAAGCTGATTTCTAGAGAAGAACCTGTGAAATATTTTTCCAATTTGAGGATATTAGATAAGCAATACTACCACTGTCTCATTTTCTGTAGGTACGAGTCAGGTACACACTGTGTTCACATAGTATTTAATATGTTTTATCCCCTCAGGACTTAGAGTACTGACAGACAGACATATATATGGCTCCTCCAACCTCCTATGCTCAGCATGTGTAGCTATCTGGAAAATGATATGAATGGAAAATGTTCTAGCTTTTGGATTCAAGTGATGAGATTACTATACTCAAACCAGTGTTCTGTACAGAAATACTGAGAACAAAACTGGCATCAATCTATTGAAACCTATGTTATAAAATGATGCCATTCTGTTTTGATTTCCAGTCACATTTTTTATAGTAGCTTTTTTTTTTTTTTCTAGAATATAACCTCATTCTTGTTTTGTTGGTTGTTCAGTAACTTGAGGATTTTCCTGCAGTGTTGGCAATCAGTAAAGATTTGGGGTAACTGTCTAAATTCTACTTCTAAATCAAAAATATCAATTTATAGGATGCTTTCCTTCCCTCTCAGTCACAATTATCCCATGGCCTCTGTGCATGCAATGAGTTGATATATTAGAATACAGAGCACTGAGGTAAAAATAACTCATGTATTATGTCATTTGCTACTTGAAATATATGGGCTTTAAGTATTCAAAGGGTGACTTTCTATGACCAAATAACCTTTGAAGATTATAGGATGGGAGAAAGAGAAACATCAGTGTCAGACTTGTTTCTTTGCTGCCAATATGAAGAGATATGAGGGTGTCACTCCTCACTCAAAAAATGAGCTGTCAATCCCATTTCTAGCAATTTGTAACTCTGGAAAGTTTAGTTCAAATTGTTAATTTTACAGATAATGGAACTGAAGCTCAGTGAGGTTAATTAATACAAACAGATTGCAGAGTATGTCACTGTCAGAGCCAGGACCTAAACTAAGCCTTTAGATTTCAAGTCTGTGGTTCTTTCTTCTTTATTAGACTGCTCCAGATCCTGGGCACTGCTCCAAATCCTGGCTAGAGCTAAGAGATTGTATTTTCCTTGCTTAAATATTGTAAAAATTTGAACCAATTTATATCTGAAGTCCTTTTCTCTATATCCATGCCTCTTTATTTATGACAAATGGTAAAAAGTAAAAGGATCCAGAATTTTTGAAAAATAACCATGAAAACTCTTATAGATTGGAAAATGTCACATTTGTCAGGGAACTTGTTTTAAGGAAAGTTAAACCTTAATTTCAGTTCAACTCAATAAACTTGTTATAATTACATTAGCGGTAATGAACTCTCCCTTTGGAATTAGCCTTTAGATTTCTGGTTATTGTTTCTTACTACAAGACAAACACACAGAGGTATTATCACTCACGGCTATAGCTGTAAAAACAGAACATTGCTTTAAAAATCTTTTTTTTAGTATCCTAAAAAAAGAAATAGGTGAGAATATATCACCACAAAAGAATATTCTCCCCTTCACTTATGAGTTGGTATGAGCCCTTTTAATTTTCAGAGATAGAATATAGCTTTTATTCTCCATCAAAGGGGGAAAAAAGAGAATGCTTAAAACATACTTATATGTAACTTTTAGGTAAGAATCAAAAGACGTAATGACTTCCTGCAATCTTTAGCCATGAGTCAATCTAGAAGACTGTATTTTGTTTTCTAACAAATAACAGTAATTCAGTTATCTAATTTGTTTTTGATGGCTTTAGTAAAGATCCAAGTGGCACATATTCAGTGTCAGAAGCAAAGATTAATGTGTCATTCCAGTCACAAGACAGTTTAATATAAATCTTCAGCCCAGTTTCTCTTTTTCCTTCTTCCCATTCCCTTCCTCCTATTTATCCCTTCCTCCTATTTATCCCTTCCTCCCTTTTCTTCTTCTTCGATCCTCCTCCTCCTCCTCTTCTCTCTCTCTCTTTCTCTCTCTCTCTCTCTCCCTTTCTCCTCTGGTCTTTCATTCTCATTGCACCTCTTGGTTTCTATGTTTCTCTGCTTCTGAAATGTTTTTCTCAGCATAGTGTATTTGTTTATGTAATCTGTCTTCTTTAATACCTGTCCCTTCCTTCCCCTTACTCTCTACCTTCTCATTTCTGCTCTTCCTTAACTGGCCACAATTTAAACCTACATATTCTAAATAATTTTAAAAATAAATTTTAGATATTGTTCAAAATCAAAATATATTACAACAACAAAAAGTTTTGTTAAAACATTTAAGGGAAACTAGAGAAAGGCAGGGTTCAATTGAACAGAAATAAGGAACTTTCTAAATGGCTAAAACTCTGAAGATTCCAGCCGATTGTCTTCAGATGATAATCAGGGGTTTATTCAAGAGATTGAAACATGGTTGTTACAGAAAGTGAAAAATCACTTGCAGGGGGCTGCAGAGTATTGCGCTGATGTGGTTCCTAAGGCTCTCTCAATTGATAATTCTGATGCTAAAGTGCTTTGGTTAAAAAAAAAAAGTGTAATTCTTAAACATGTGCTAAATTATCTGTGGATTGGCATAATAGATACACCCAAGCCCTGGTCCATTCAACAAAGCAATTACAATGATCTGTACCTTTAGGGTGGGATAATCACAGAGGAAAGCTTTAATTTGACCAAAAACATGAATGGCACCTAATAATAGAACACTTTTATACTATATATTAATACATTGAACCATTTCAAATGTAGTGTAAGAAAAAAAACTAAGGTAAAGTTTAACTTGATGATTGTGCCTGAGATTTGCATAATGTCCTTGCCCTGTTATTTAATTGACAGTGAAATGTTGGGCACGTCTCTTTCTTTCTATGACACTCAGGGGTTTTACCAGGAAAATCTGGACATTGAAACAGACCATCTGTTTCTTTATGAACCTTCTATGAGCAATGCCATATATTAAGAACCAGTGTACACGCAAAGTCATGATCTGCCATTTCTACTGTTCTAACATCTATTTTCTATTTACCACATATGTTGTGCTCCTCTGTTCTTTTTTTTCCTGCCTTATTTTGGGTTAATCTTTCTTTTTTTTTTTTGTTTTTTTTTTGCTAGTGTTCTATTTTGTTGATCTTTTCATAAAACCAGCTCCTTGATTTATTGATTTTTTTCTTTCTTTTTTTTTTTTGTATCTCTATTTTAAATACTCTTCTTTGTATTAAAATTTTAGTGGTTGCTTAAGGGATTACAATATGTATTTTTATTCTACTTAAAGTTAATATTGAGTCACTTAGCGTAAAATGTAAGAAACTTGGCCTTGCGCAATTTCAAATTCTTTTTCATTTTCGCCATTGTTTTAAACTATTTTGCATCCATATACTTACAAATCCCACAATATAATGTTTTAATTTCTTGGTTTAATTATTCAGTTGTACTCAGTCTGTCATTGGCTGTCCATGTTTCCTCCGCCTAATTATGGTCAATTCCAGGCAGCAGCCACAGCCTTAAACTTTAACTCTCAATGAAGTCCCTAAGCCAGAGATTAGCAAACTTTTGCTGTGAGGGGATGTATGGTAAATATTTTAAGTTTGGAGATGGTCTCCACTTACCTCTGCGATTGTTGTGTACAAGCAGCTATAGCACCTAAATGAATGAGTGTGACTGTATTCAAAAAAACCTTACTTATGACAACAAGCAGGAGACTCCATGTGCCGTGCTTTGCAGATCATAGTTTGATGATTGATGATCTAGTCTGCTAATGGCAAAATAGTAAAGGTCCATATTTCTTATCTGTAATTGTAAAATCATTAAAGCTCTGAAAATTACTTTTTTTTTCCTAAGTCACTTGAGAGCAAAGCATGATAGTACCTGAACTTTATCTAGTGATGAAATCTGACTGGAACTAATGTGAGACTATTTATAGTCTTGTTTATCACAATTAAAGTGAATATTTGTATGTTTTGCTACAGAAATATTAATGTGTTTATTAAGGAGTGCTGTTACATATTATGTTAGGGACATTATGTGATTGTTTAAGCTTTTGTAAATTCAAAAATTCTGGATTCTGTAACACCTGGCACCATGTTTTTCATTAGAGCATTGGGACTGATGGTAGGCTAATCAGATGTGAGATTTAAAAACAATGATTAGAACATACTTTCCAACAGTCTGCAAGTGTGTGCCGGAGTGAGCTGCCACCTCTCTCAGCTTCTTCTGTTTAGGATCCTCCCCATTTAACTCTGGAATTTTAGAGGATTCCTTAATCACTCAGGCTCCTTTGGTTTCTCACCCAGCCTGGAATGCCTTTGATCCAGAAGAAGGCTTCTACTCCACAAAAATAACCAAATGTCTACAGATAAATTTCTCAACATATAGTGTTTTAAAAATTTTGATCCTGGTCGACTAATTGGCAGGCTATTGTACAGGGATAGAGTTTGAAGCCCAGGAGACAGAGTAAAAATCTGGACTCTATCATTTACTAGACTGTGTCTTTGGGCAAGTCATTGAACTTTGTTAAGGCTTTGTTAAGCCTTGGTTTTCTTTAACTGGAAAAAAGAGTGGTAACAATTCATACCTTGTAGGATTAAAAAGTAGAGCCCTTGGCTTAGTATTTGGCTCAGAACATACAATATATGCTAGTTATATGTATTTTTTTGTAAATGTAACTGGACTATTGGAAGAAAGAAAAGATTGTAAATCACCTTGCTTCATGCCCTCAGAGGCCAACTCTGATCATTTATTAATGGGTTAATGTTATACCCAAACTTAAGAGTACAAGGATACACTCAGGGCAATCCTGTATTCCTAGAAATTGTTTGCAAAATTTTAAGTATATTGTTCTTGAAAGAATATATATACATTTTATCTGTGTCTCGAAGGGATTCATGTTCCGAAAAAGATTAAGAACCTTTTATAACATATTTGGAGGATTATGAATAAGGCAGTGATGTTTGGCCTGATCCATTAAGGTTTCCCACTGGATAGAACTGGACCTTCTGAGGCATTTCCTCCCTGTCTCGTTTGTGGAATGGGTTGGGTACCTGACATAAAAACTCTTGAACTGGTGGAGCTACAGTCATCAAATTCTATCAGCAAGTCCCAAGCTAATGTCAGTACTCTAGGGATGCACATGGGAATAACAAATTGATATGCAGATATCTGAGCCCAGGCCTTGACCGGAGCCTCAAGACTGAGCTCATTGCTCAACCTGCCCTTAAAAGATTTACAGTTGTGAAGTTTTGTTTGGCTCTGAGAAAATGCTTGTATTTTTTTCTTCATGGATATACTGAACAGCCAAAAAGTAGAACACAACATGTGAAAAGTCAGTTTATTTTGGCAAACCGCCTGGTTGTAGCAATACTTCAAGTCTGCACAATAGAAAAAAAAAATCTAGGTTTTCACTTGGCTGTATCACCTGAAACTATCACTTATAAGTCTGGCATATGAGATAGTAACAGCTGCATTTGGGATAAGCTCCAGCTCATCTCAGAATATAGAAGTGTGCTAAACCAAGGTTGCTGACAGAACGTGTGGGCACAGGTGGTGTGAATTGCTGAGGACTCATGAAACCTCTTGGCAGGGTCAACAATAGAGTGTATTGACAGCTTTCCAAGCACAGTTGTTAAGTATGAGCTATGGCTAGAAGAGCACTTAGAGACAAAGGACCCTGATTGTTTTGATGCAAGGCTGAGTAAAGACTCAGCCCTGCTACCACTCCAAATATCATTTCAGTGACATTATTCCTTATAGATTAAAAGTGTTTATAACTCTTAAATGCCTGTGTAGAGCCATTTAAGAATTGGGAGTAGAAGATAAATGTGAATTCTCCTAAGTTCTGGGTACTCAGTAATTTCTCTGGGAACTGACATAATTATGAGTTTATCTTCCTCAAGCTCCTCTATAAATAAAAGTCAAATTTCAGAGAAAAGAACAATTTAGTCCTCAACAAGGGAGAAAGTGCTCCAGCTGGAGAATAATAAAATAAAATATGACTTATAACTCACTCGCTGTAGGAACAGAAAACAACAGAATAGACCCTCAGCCCCATTTCTGGATTATCAGAAATTGAATTGTTTCTGTTTCAGAATAGTTCTGTTACACAAGACAATAGCCAAATACAGGGAATAACAGGACAGGCATGTACAGAGAAACCACTGAGATGATCTCTATTTATCTATGATCATGTGAGATTCCTGTCTCTCAGTTTAGGTCTCTGAAATATGATGATGATTCCCAAAGCACATTTTGGACATTAGCACCAATGCATTTTTTCCTGGTCACAGAAATGGGGCTGCTTCTTCTCTCTCTCTTTGCTCATTTGGGATGTCAGGGCAGGGGAAACTTGGCCAGGAAACCTAGATTAACCACAAAGGAGAGAAAAAGACATTTCAGGATCAAGTGTTGGCTGTTGTTCTGCCTCTACCGTCTAGAGGATAATTGTAACAATACCTTCCTGGAGAGTCTCCATTCTCGTCGAATAGGATCATATCTCCAGAAACCCCAGTAAAATTGGTTTTCATCAGGGATTCCAAAAGTTTTCGTCCATCAATTGGCTTCATTGCATCACAGAGTCCTGCAACCCCTGGGCAGAGGGACATCTGCATGTTGTGGAGCCCATAGGCCATCGAATAGATGGCGTTGATCACAAATCCCATTTTGGAATCTTGAACATGATGTGTTTTCAGAGTCAGAGAACCTGTTGGGAACAAATTAGGCACAGCTTTGAGATATAAATCTACCCTCAAGACATCCCAGGGTACTGAATAATGGGTTACCTGGAATTAGAGAATGTTCTGGAACAATTTTATCAGAGTTAGAACCAGGGGTAATACTGAGAAACAGGTACCAACATAATGAGCCTAATAGTTATCTTCTGTATTCAGGTTTTTCTTCCAAAATGCTGAAAGAAGATCTGAATCCCCAAGAGTAGCAAGATCCACTTTCTTCCATAACCAAACTCTAGGTATGAATGCAGGATAGGACTGTATTTCTGTATCACAAAATGTTTCTTAAGGACAGATTAATTTCATTAGTATCAGCTGTCACATTATACATTTTCAGTTCAGAAATCTTCAACAAACCTCCAGTTTCTAAACTATTATGTTCTCTTACTTGGCAATATTAGATATTCCACCATCTGATATAAATTTATCTATTTAGATTTATCACCCAGTAATTCTAATCTCAAAGCATATGCTCTCCATAAACTGGCCTATTTGAAAGTTATAAAATAGAACAATTTAAACTCCTTTAATTCATTATTTAATTCAGTAAACATTTATTGGAGTCAGAATATACATAAACCTCTGTAATTAATCATCTAGAGAGAAGAAAAAGATGGTTTGAACGTGGAGCTTGCACATAAGAAACTTGTCTAATAGCAGTGATCAATTATGTAAATACAAGGAAAGGCAGAAGATAATAAATCTGTAAAAGATGTGCAGCTAAAATCTACAGAGGCCCAAAGGAGTGAGAAATATGCTTTCCAATAGAAGGTCCTTGGGAATATTTCATTAAGGAACTAAAGTTTGTGATTGGTATTTGATTTGACAAATATGGACTGAGTGTCTGTGATTTCTAACTGCTCAGAACTTGCTCTGAGTGAGGGACATCATGCTGAACAAGATAGACACGATGCTTGCTCTCGTTTACTTAGAGTCTAGAGGGCAAATGAGCATCTACCTAAGCAGGCAATTGCAATGTGTTCTGACAAGTGCTGAGACGCGACTGAATGGTGACTCACATATGGAAGGTCTCTGAAGCTGAGGATTAGGTTAAGTATCAGCCAGACGAATGGAGAAAAAGAGTGCTCCATGCATTTTTGAAGAGTAACGGATGAGATAGTTATGTTTGGGAAACTTTAAGGAAATCAGAATGACCAACACAGAGAGTAGGAGGTAGGAGAAAAGAGAGAACTGAAATGGTAGAGGAAGGCAGAGATAAGCCATGTTGAGATTGCTGCATTTTGGCTGGACATGGTGGCTCATGCCTGTAATCCCAACACTTTGGGAGGCCAAGGCTAGTGGATCACCTGAGGTCAGGAGTTTGAGAACAGCCTGACCAACATGAAAAAACCCTATCTCTACTAAAAATACAAAATTATCCAGGTATGGTGGTGTGCACCTGTAAGCCCAGCTACTCGGGAGGTGGAGGCAGGAGAATCTCTTGAACCCAGAAGGCAGAGGTTGCTGTGAGCAGAGATTGTGCCATTGCACTACAGCCTGGGCAGCAAAAGGGAAACTCTGTCTAAAAAAAAAAAAAAAAAAAAAAAGCTGCATTTTATCATAAGACATTTGGGACCCATTGAAATGTTTAAGCTAGGGAGGGTCATGAGAGACATGATCATATTTCTATTTTAGGAAGACCAATCTGGCTACATTGTGGAGAAAGGTTTAAACGGCTATAGTGTAAAGCACTAAATGGCTGTAGGAGTATCCAAGGCCATTAAGAGGGAATATAGTCATCCCAGTGACAGGAGAAAATGTCCTTTCCTGTGGTAGAGGCCATGATTATAGACAAAAGTATCTAGGAAGCGAAATCTGTTTCCTAGAATGAATAGGGTTGAGACATATAGGAAGAGTGTGGTAAAAAAGGTGAAATAAAGAGCTGAGGTAAAGCCAGAGCTTATCATTTTGGAAAAAAGTTTTAAGAAAGGTGTTTTTTTTTTTTTTTTTTGAGATGGAGTTTTGCTCTTTTTACCCAGGCTAGAGTGCAATGGCGCAATCTTGGCTCACTACAAACCTCTGCCTCTTG